ATTATTTTATATGGACAAAGCATCGGCACGGTGCCCACGGTTGATCTGGCCTCCCGCTATGAGTGTGCTGCCATCGTGCTCCACTCCCCACTCACCTCTGGCATGAGAGTCGCCTTCCCTGAGACCAAGAAGACCTACTGGTTCGACGCCTTCCCCAAGTGAGTGGCCTGAGGAGAAGAGAGAGGGGTCAGCTCTGGACGGGCAGTGTCCAGATCAGCTCTGTCCTGGATGCCAGCCCTTGGCCACGAAGAAGGGTTATGGTGAAAAATGTGGACTTGTGTCCCATAATAGGCTTAAACGTGCCTATCGGCACCCTCTTGCCTTGGATTCGGTCCCCTCCGGGGGGTCGTAACCCTCCCTGGGGTCACCATGCCCCTTCCTGAGGGCCATGCCATGCGTGCACCCCACTGGCATCACCTCCTGGCCATCCTGTCCCGGTGTCTTTGCAGCTTTGGGGCTGTGCCACCGGCCCCGTGTCAGGTATGACAAACCCCAGGGGTCCCTGGGACCCCTCTCTCCCCCAGAGGCAATTTCTTGGGCTTTTTTTTTTCCCCCCCCCTCAACAGACAGCAGGGGCAGTGGCATGGAAAGGCAGTGCTGAGGCGGGATGAGCTCTTGCTTCACCTCTCCCTCACAGCCAGGCCAGCGGGGCCCGAGGGACGGGCCCTGAGCCGCGACCGGGAGCCGCCAGCCCACGTCCCGATGGCCTCACGCGGCCTTTGGGACCGGGCTGACAGCAGCCGTGCTTCCACTCCCCAGAGCCTGGCATGGCTGGGGACTCCCCGAGACAGGGAATCTAAGTCGCTTGTCTCCCTCATCGGAGTGGGACACGACCGTCCCGGCGCGGGGTGGCCCTGCACTCCTGCTGTCCCGCGGCGCTTTCCGTCAGCCCTGCCCAGCTCCCTCGGGGCTGTTGTCACCGCTGTCTGGTCCTCGTCTGTCACGCCGGGGGAGATCTTGTCCTGGGGCTCATCCTTGGCAGAAACTCGGTGTCCCCATGCTCTGCTGTGATCAAAGAGCATTTCCCGGTCCCTGTCCCAGAGGGGGTGTGATTTGGGGGGGGCGGGAGGAACGGGAGTGCCTTGATCCCTGTACTTACCCCCCCCCCTCTCTCATCTCTTCCCCACCCACCTTCTTGGCAGCATTGAGAAGATCTCCAAAATCACCTCTCCCGTCCTCATCATCCACGGCACGGAGGATGAAGTCATCGACTTCTCCCACGGCCTGGCGCTCTTTGAACGCTGCCCCAAGGCTGTGGAGCCGCTGTGGGTGGACGGGGCCGGGCACAATGACATTGAACTCTACAGCCAGTACCTCGAGCGCCTTCGGAAATTCATCTCCCAGGAGCTGGCCAGCCAACGCAACTAGCTGCAGGGTGCGGGGACGGGCAGGGGGTCTCTGCCTCCTCTTCCAGTTCTCCCAGTGTCCCTCCCCAGTCCTTGCTGGAGGAGGTGCACTGAGTTTGTACAGCCTCAGCTCCAGGCTTGGGAGAGGGCAGGAGGCCCTGGAGCAGACGGTGCATTTCCTCTTGGACACGAGCACAACTCTCCTCCCTCCCGGTGTCAGCCCCGGCGCTGCTGGCACCACCAGCCGGGCTGGCGAGAGATGGCAGCTCCCTCCTTCCCCCCGCCCCAGAAAGATGAGAGCCCACCCTCTTGATGGCGTATCCTCGGCTTCGGACATGTCCTCGTCCCCTCTCCTAGAACAGCGAACTCCTGAGGTCCTCCTGGCTGCTCTGGCTATAGCAATAAGGCGAGTTGGAGAGGGGCTGGGGGCCCGGCCCCCTCCCCGGCGTCGCTGCGGGGCGGGACGGAGGAGGTGGCAGTTCCTGCTCTCCACGGAGCTTTCCCGGGAGCGGCGCTGGTGGCAGCGGGGTGCCTGGTGTTCGCCCCGTGGCTGGGGCAGAGCCGTGTCCCCAAGGGGAGTTTGGGGATGCGCGGAGGAGGTGCCCCCCCTACCCCCACACCCCCTCCAGTCTGGTCCTGCTCTGCCTTCTCAGAGCACCCCCTGTGTTCAGGTCGCCCCTGGAAAACCTCCTCCGTGGCTCTCGCTTGCGGCGCGCTCGGGAAACGGGGTGAGGAAGCCAGGCACCGAATAAAGAGCAGAGGTTTAACGTTTTACCCGTGTGCGCCCTTTCCCTGGGTACGCTGGGGGGGACCAGCCCCAGCCCCTGGCGGGGTCCGGCCCCTCAGACCTGGAAATTGCACTTGGCTGAGTCCCCAACTCTTGTCACCTTCCTCTGGGGGACTGGGCAGCCCCCAGGTGCCGGCAGGTGGGAAAGGAGCCCTTGGCCCCCCCCGGGACTGGGCTGCCAAGGTCTGTCTCTTTGAATCGGGTTGTGAGGAAGAGGGGGGGGCCCATTCCCCTGCCAGCCCTGGTCCTGTTTCATTAAGGGCTCCCGTGGGATCAGGGGGGCAGAGGCGGGGGCTGGCCTCGGCCTCCTCGGAGCTGGGGTATGGGGGGGCTCGAGTGTGCTGCAGGGGGAAGGAGATGTCCCCACGGCTTGCCAGTGTACCAGGACACAGCACGGGCAGAGTGGCTCTGGGGGGCACCGAATCTTATTTTTTGACCTGCTCCGTGCCCAGCTGATGTCCCCTGGCTGCGCGGGGACCTCGGCGATTCCTGGCAGGCGCGTGGGCCGTCCCCCTGTGCCCTCACGCCGGCGGTCAGGGCGTTTTGCCCCACAGAAGGGGCAGCGCCTGGGCTTTGTGGTTTTTTGGGTCAGCAGCCTCCTCTGAAATCACCCTGGGGAGGAGCTGCTCAGTGTCTGTGTGTTTTCCTGCCCCCGGGGGCATTCCTCACCCCAACCCAAACAGCAAAGCACCCTTCTGCCCCTTCCTGTGTCCCCAGGGATGCTCGCGGGGCTCCCAGGCGCTGGTTCCCTGTCACCCTCGTGTCCCCGTTCCCCCCCCCCCCCAGCGCGAGGCCGTGGGGCTCGGCCGGCTCATGTGAGGAGGGATAATCTCCTTAGGCGGCTCTCGGAGGGGCTCAGGGTTCTTGTGGTGGGGCCTCGCCACAGCCCCATGCCCGGCGCACTCAAATGCACCTATTGTTTGGGGCTGGAGCTGTGGGTGGCACCCGCCCCCCCCCCCTGTTCCCCCCCCACCTCCTGCCAGGCCGAGGCAGGGTGCTCCGGTGAAGGAAGGGGAACCCTTCCTTGGCGCTGGGGCTCCGCAGGAGCTCGAAGAGGATTTGGATGTTGGGGCTCAGGGTGGTCTCCCCCCCCCTTTACCGGGGAGGGGGTTTGTTGTCCAGGAGCCGGGATGTCTGCCTTCTCCCTGAGCATCCCCCCAGCCCTCCCCTCCCTTCCCCAGCTCTCCGCGCGCAGCTGCCGGATGATTTTTAGAGCCTTTAGCTCACACGTGTGCTGGAAGCCAAAGCCACCACGGTCACCCAGCCCTGTTCCCCTTTGGCCCTGGCCGTGATCAGCGGGGCTGGAGCAGCCCCCGGTGCCCTAATCCCGACATAGAGACCTTTTGTTTGCACCGAGGGTATTTTTATCCTCTTACTGCTGCCTGTTTCCTGTTGAGCTGCGGATGCTTTAGAGCAGCTCTGCCATCGCCAGCGGGACGTCTCAGAGCTGGTGGTTGGGTTCAGGGGGGATATCAGCGTGGCTCGAGTTTGTATTTACTGTGTCTCCGTTTCCGAAAAAAAAAAAAAAAAAAAAAAAAAAAAAAGGCAAAAGGACAGAACAGTTCAGCCTCATCACCAAAAGTTAGACACAACTTGGGCATGTGGGATCTGGATGAGATGGACATTGCTGGCTGCCGCCTCCGTGATGGGGAGTTGTGGCTGTGACCCATCGTCACTGGGACAGGGGCTTTTTAGGTCTGGATCCTTCGCTGCTCCTGACCCAAGGGGGCTCAGGCTCCATCCCCACCCGGGCGTGGATGGAGGAGGGAGGGAGAAGCACTAATCCATACACGAGCTGCAGGGTCCCCCCAAAGGCATGAGCCAGACCTGCCCTGGGGGTCCTGGGTGCAGCATCCCCCACCAGTGGGGCCAAACTGGACCATGAGCTACTGGCCCGGCCCTTCTGTCCCCACCCCCGGTGCCACGGTTCGGGAGCACCAGGAGGGGATGGGAAGGAAAAGGGCTGGGTTGGGGCTGGACCTCGACGGGGTTTGGTGCCTGGAGGGGGCCTCTGCTGAAACTGCGGGTCCCAGCAGGGCCTGGAGGAGGGAAAAGGCAGAGTCAGGGCTCAGAGTGTCCCCAGAGCCCCTGGCGCAGCTGAGGCAGGGAGGGGACGGGGCAGGCGTCCCCCCGGGGCCTTCTGAAGTCCCCAAACAGAAGAGCTGGGGCACGGGCAGCTCCCGCTCCCACCGCTGCAGAGGCACAGGCACGGGGCTGGGCTGGGGAGTGCCTGCGTGTGGTTGTGTGTGTCTGCGTGTGTCTGCGTGTGTCTGTGGTGCCTGTGTGTGTCTGCGTGTGCCTGCGTGTGGTTGTGTGTGTCTGCATGTGTCTGCGTGTGCCTGCGTGTGGTTGTGTGTGTCTGTGTGTGCCTGCGTGTGTCTGCGTGTGTCTGTGGTGCCTGCGTGTGTCTGCACGTGCCTGCGTGTGCCTGCGTGTGTCTGTGGTGCCTGTGTGTGCCTGCATGTGCCTGCGTGTGCCTGCATGTGTCTGCACGTGCCTGCGTGTCTGCACGTGCCTGCGTGTGCCTGCGTGTGTCTGTGGTGCCTGCGTGTGCCTGCGTGTGTCAGCGTGTGTGGAAGGGCTGGGGCTCTCGCTGCGATGAGCCCTCGGCAGAGGCGGCTGGGGCTGCAGCCGCGGCTGGGCGCGGGGGACAGCGGGCTCACCGAGTGACCGGCCAAAAGGGGTTTAAGTCTCTTTGGGGTCATAAATGAGGCTTTTGATGGCCGGGGGGTGCGTGCCACAGTCATGAGACCCTGTTCACAGGCCGAGCTCAGTCATGGGATCCAGGAAACTGAATTAAAGCATCTTAAGGAGCTTTCTTCCGAGCTCTGCTCCGTTTTTTCACGTGCTTGTCATATGAACAAAGACGGTATAAAAGGGCAGAGGGGAAGGATCCCATCCATGGCCAGGCTGGGGAGAGCGGAGGGTGCCGGAGGAGAGATGCCAGGGTGAGGGGCTCTGCACGGCGCTGGCTAAGATGGAGGGAAGGGGACAGGGAAGGACAAGGAGAGGAGAGGATGCGCTGCCAGCAGCTCCTGGCTCTGCCCTGCCAGGTGAGTGAGGCAGCGACCCGGGGCTGGGGGACACTGGGGACAGGGACGGTGGCAGGTCTGGGGGAGCAGAGCCCGTCTGCCCCCGCTCCTCGAGCACCCCACTGTGCCCGTGGCTGCGCCCAGACCCCCACCGGCACTTCCCCGGTGAGAGACAGCGAGTGTGGCCTCGCGACACGGGGAGGAGGGAGCACGGGGCGTGGGGGGCAGCCCCCACCCCGCCCTGCCGGCTGCGGGGACAGGGGTGCTGGGTGCCCACTGGTCCCTGGGGTCCCTTTGTGCCGGGGAGGGTGCCCTGGGTCTGGCCTCCGTGGGTGGGCGAGCGTGGGGTGAACCCAGCCAGCCCTGTGCCGCGCACCGAGGGCTGCACACGCCCACACACGTGTGTGTACATACGCGCTCACACCCCGGCCCGTGCGGATGGATACACGGACACCCCTGCGCACCCCCACACTGCCCGCACTCCGCACCCCCTCAGGATTGCACACGCAAACCCACCCGCTCACCTACAACACCCTCCCCACCCCCCCCTGGCAAAAAAAAACCCAAAAAACCAAAAAAAACACAAAAACGTGGCCCCACTTGCACCCTGCGCACTCGCCACGTCCCCGGGGAGGGGAGAAGCAGCACCGGGGCCGGCGGGACTCACCGGGGAGATCCGTGGGCTGGTTTTCACCCCCTGCAGATGCGGCGCAGGTTTGGGGAGCCCCCCCAGCTCCCCCCTTCCTGGCTCACTTCTCCGTCCGCAGGAGCGCTCGGCGGGAGGAGTGCGGGGCCGCAGCCCCCTGCCCCCTGTGAGCTTCCCTTTGTCATCCTATGCCTGAGCGATGCCTGGAGGCTGGGACGGTGAAGGGAGGCCCACGGGCTGCCACAGCCCTGCGGCCGCACCACCTGCACAGCACATATGGGACCACGCAGCTGGGGCCTGAGTCCTGGGTGGGGTGGGGCTTGGAGCACACTTGGGGTGGGCTGGAGCATCCCTTTGGGTGGGTCAGGAGCACCTCGGGGGGCTGGGAGCGTCCCTTTGGGTGGGTCAGGAGCACCTCGGGGGGCTGGGAGCATCCCTTTGGGTGGCTCAGGAGCACCTCAGGGCGCTGGGAGCATCCCTTTGGGTGGGTCAGGAGCACCTCGGGGCGCTGGGAGCATCCCTTTGGGTGGCTCAGGAGCACCTCAGGGCGCTGGGAGCATCCCTTTGGGTGGGTCAGGAGCACCTCGGGGGGGCTGGGAGCATCGCTTTGGGTGGGTCAGGAGCACCTCGGGGCGCTGGGAGCATCCCTTTGGGTGGGTCAGGAGCACCTCGGGGGGCTGGGAGCATCCCTTTGGGTGGGTCAGGAGCACCTCGGGGCGCTGGGAGCATCCCTTTGGGTGGGTCAGGAGCACCTCGGGGGGCTGGGAGCGTCCCTTTGGGTTGGTCAGGAGCACCTCGGGGCGCTGGGAGCGTCCCTTTGGGTGGGTCAGGAGCACCTCGGGGCGCTGGGAGCATCCCTTTGGGTGGCTCAGGAGCACCTCAGGGCGCTGGGAGCATCCCTTTGGGTGGGTCAGGAGCACCTCGGGGGGCTGGGAGCATCCCTTTGGGTGGGTCAGGAGCACCTCGGGGGGGCTGGGAGCGTCCCTTTGGGTGGGTCAGGAGCACCTCGGGGGTGCTGGGAGCATCCCTTTGGGTGGGTCAGGAGCACCTCGGGGGGCTGGGAGCGTCCCTTTGGGTGGGTCAGGAGCACCTCGGGGGGCTGGGAGCGTCCCTTTGGGTGGGTCAGGAGCACCTCGGGGGGGCTGGGAGCGTCCCTTTGGGTGGGTCAGGAGCACCTCGAGGGGCTGGGAGCATCCCTTTGGGTGGCTCAGGAGCACCTCAGGGTGCTGGGAGCATCCCTTTGGGTGGGTCAGGAGCACCTCGGGGGGCTGGGAGCATCCCTTTGGGTGGGTCAGGAGCACCTCGGGGGGGCTGGGAGCGTCCCTTTGGGTGGGTCAGGAGCACCTCGGGGGTGCTGGGAGCGTCCCTTTGGGTGGGTCAGGAGCACCTCGGGGCGCTGGGAGCATCCCTTTGGGTGGGTCAGGAGCACCTCGGGGGGCTGGGAGCGTCCCTTTGGGTGGGTCAGGAGCACCTCGGGGGGGCTGGGAGCATCCCTTTGGGTGGGTCTGGAGCACCTCGTGGGGCTGGGAGCGTCCCTTTGGGTGGGTCAGGAGCACCTCAGGGGGCTGGGAGCATCCCTTTGGGTGGGTCAGGAGCACCTCGGGGGGCTGGGAGCACCCTCAGGGAGCTGGAGCATCCTCCCCGGGCTGGCGGGTTGGAGCTGGGCAGCGTGGGATGCAGCGGCCGAGCTGTTGCCCCAGGATGTAGTTGGAGTTATGGGGTGTCACAGAGCACCCCTGGCTATGGGGGGGGTGGGGGGTGGGGGGTGAGCGGGATGGTTCAGCAGGGCTGGGGAGGAGTCTGCCAAGGGGGCCACGGGCCATGGTGGGATACATGTGAGGCGGTACCGGGAGCATCGGGACAGGCATCGCCACGAGCCTGCGTGAGGACGTCTGAGCAGCTCCGGGGAAGCCCCTGTTCTCCCACCACCCTGTTTCTCCAACATCACAAGCTCCTGGCTGGTACCAGCTCATGCTGGGGCCGTGCTGGGACAACGGGAAAGTTCCTGTGTGGTTGTAGAGAAAATCTGTAATTCCCACCTTGAGGAGTGGAAACTTGCCCTGGGAAGTGCATTTTTTTATGGTGATGCAAAATAATGAGCAGAGAACAAAGGTCTGCAAGGCAGGAGGCTCCCACCCCATGAGCATCTCCGGCTGGCTTATTTTCTTTTGGCTCTTTTCCCCCCAAAAAATCAATGCAATTCACCCAGCCATGGGTTAATCACAGGGTGGGAATTGGCTGCAGGGAGGCAGGGACACACTCCCTGCAGGAGCTGCTCTGCCTGTGGCTGTTGATGGGTGGGGGTTTCGGGGGGGACACCCCTGAGCCCCAGCTGCCCCAGGGCTGGATCTGACCTCCTGCCCTGGGGAGCAAAGCGGGAGCATCCCCCGCGGCAGGTCTGGAGCCACGTTGCTGGGTCGCATCCTCCGTCCAGTCCCTGCTGTGTCAGGGAAGCCCGGCACAGTGCGAGGTCTCCCCAGCACAGGGAGCGGGTCCCCGCTGTCCCCCCGCACCAGTAACGGGCTTCGGTGGGGATGGGTCCGGCCCCGATCCAGTGCCATCCCTCTGCCTGGCTCTCCCTGGGGAGGAGAGGGGCGAAACCACGGAGGGACATCCCTCTGTGCTGCCCCTTGTCCCACGTGGGGACCCGAGGTGCTGTGACAACTCTGCCACGTGCCCAAAACCTGTCCTGAGGTTGTTCCCCTCTTGAACGTCAATCGAGGCATTTGCCTGTTGGATGTGAGCTGTGCTGGGAGGCAGAGTGAGCACCAGTGGGGCCTCCCGGGGACAAGAGGCTGGGAAAATCACCTTGTTTCTCTGCAGAGGGGTCAGGGTATTTTGTGGGGGGAGATGAGGTCAGTCTGGGGGATCCATGAGTCGCTCTGGGTGGCTGTGGTGGGGAGTTCAGGTCCTTGGCAGGGTCGGAGGGACTCGTTTGGGGTGCTGAGCTGAGGGGGGGAGAGGCTCAGATCCGCCAGGACAGGTGAATTTGGGGGTCCCTGTTCTCGCAGGGGCTGCTTCAGTGTGCACAGGGACCCTCGGGACCTTTTCCAGTGCTGCTAACTGGGAGCTGAGTGGGCATCCCAGTTAACCAAGCTGTCCCTTCCCATGTGGGGAAGCAAAAGCGTAGTCAAGATCAGCCTGAACTCATTTTGGACAGTTTTTCCATGTGGGGTCCTCCAAGTCTGGACAGAAATGAATGGTTTATTTTATATTATTGTATTTTGCCAGCTTGTGAGTTGAATAAGCATGGGGCAAGAATTATAAGGAAGGGAAAAGATTCAGCATATATCTGTGTGCATGGTCTTTCTACAGAGTCCTCTCTTACAGCTGAAGTTATATAAAATAGATTTTTCTATATCATAAAAATAAATATGCTTTCTTTTTTTGGGGGAAAGAATAGCTTGCTTTTCTAGCACTCGTGGGAGCCAGGGAGCTGGCTGGCAGGAGTGTGGGTGGGGATGCTCAGCGCGAGCCCTCCCTGGGTACCTCGCAAAGCACCTTGTGTCGGTTGCGTGTTTCTGCCGGAGGGAAGGCTGTTGACCTCCCGGTGTTTCCTGCGTTTTAAAAGGGTTTTATCAATTATTCAGGTTTCCCGGGGCTGGCAGCTGCTCGCCCCCAAACCTCAGCAGTGCCGGGGCATTGGCGTGCTGCTCGCTCCCCCTTGCACGTTGGCCAGGCACGGCGGTGGGTTCCTCTCCCGACGTCCTCGGCTCCTGGACTCGCTCTGCTGGGACGCCGTGGGGAAGCGATGGGTAGGGAGGAGGCAGCATCATCGCCTCTTTATGATGCTGTATTTGAAAATAAAGCTGTTTTTTTGTTTTTTTTTTTTATATAAGACTACTATGAAACATGACTTTTGTGATCTTTCCCTTGGCCTTCCTTGAGGCCAAGGGTGACTGCTCCTTGTACACTTTTCTCTACATCATCTAGCTGGCTCCCTGCACTGCCCCAGCGCTTTCCACCCTCTCTCCCACCTCTCCTTTCACAAGCGATGAAGCTTTATTGCATCGTCCCTTCTCTCTAGGCTGGGGCTTCTGGCTCCACTTATTGGGATTTCTCCTCAAAGGGCTTGCTTGCTCCCTGTTGTCCCAAAATGGCCTCATACCTGCTGAGGGTAGAGACTCCCCCCCTCTGAAAACTCAAGGCAGGGGCAGCGCTGGGAGATTCCCAGGAGCTGCGGATGCTCCTCGCCGGCTTGAACCCCCCAGGCCCGGCTCCCAGTCCCTGCTCTGGCATGAACTCAGCACAGATAAATCTCTGTCACCATGTGCCTCAGTTTCCCCACTGGTAAAGATTGCCTAGGTAAAGGAGGGAAGGCCGGGTCTTCCTGGTGGGGGGAAGCTCAGAGGAAGTTTGCTCCTCTTTGTGTCCCCGGGTCCCTCTACCAAAACCCGGCCGGTGGCCTGCCGCTTTCCAGAAGGCTGAGGCCGCGCTGGGAGCAGCGGGCCGCGGCACAAGGAGCCCGCAGCCGTCCCTCCGGCCGCAGCAGCGGGGGATCCGGCGGTGTTTGGGTGCGGCAGGACGGGGCGGCTGCGGGGCCGGGGCCTGCACCCTCCTTCCCCCTCACCTCCCTCCCGCCCTGCGGCCCTTTTTGAGGCGGGGGGGGGGGGGGCTCTATCGGTGTGCCCCAAACCAGCGGGACCTGGGAGATATTCCCGCCGGCATCGCCTACAGACTGGCCACACGCCCATTGCGGCTCCTGGAGGGTGACGGGCAGATCTCCAACCTCGGGGAGGGAGGGGGGGGGGGGGGTGTCTTTCCCCCCCACACAGCCGCGGAGGCCCGGGCCCCTTCCTGAGGGAGACCCTTCGGCGGGTGCGCCGCTTCCCCCCGGGCCTGCAGGCGCTGGGCAGAAAGCGGGCAGGGAGGCGGCTGAGGCGGGAGGAGCCTGAGGGGAGCGGGGGGGGGAGCGGCCGGTGGGCCGAGCTCGCCTCAGCGCCGGCGCCTCCGTCCCCCCGGCCGCCATTTTCCTCCGCCCCCGGCCCCGCCCCGCGCTCCGCTCAGGCGCGCCGCGGGCAGCCCTGTGCGGGCAGCGGCGTCGCGTGGGGGGGGGGGGGGGCCTCAGCGGTGGGCCCGGCGGTTTCAAGATGGCGGCGGCGGCGCCGGCCGTGTGAGGCGGGAGGGTGTCGCTGCTGCCCGCGGCTCCTCTCCTCCTCCTTCCCCACCACCCCCGCCCGGCGTCCCGCCCTGCTTCCCCAGCCCGCAGCCGGCGGGATGCTGAGATCCACCGGTTACTTCCGCGGTATCGACTGCCCTTTCCTCAGCGCCGGGGGCCCGCCCTGCCGCCGGCCCTACTGCCACTTCCGGCACCCCCCGACGCGGTGCGGAGCCTCCGGCGGCCCCGGCGTGGGGGTCGCGCTCGGACACGGCGCAGGTACGGCCCTCGGCCCGGCCCGCCGGGTCACGGTACCTCCTTCCCCTCCTCCCTCCCCTCTCCCTCCCCGGGTTTGTACTTGTGCCCGGGCCCGCGCCGTCCTCACCTCCCACCCCGGCGCTGCCCCCCAGCAGCACGGTGTCCTTCTCCCTGGGAAGGACAGACCCGCTCCCTTCCTGCTTCGGACGCCTTCCCAGACCCTTCAGGGCCTGAATTTGCCTCTGACTCTTCTAGGTCCCACCTGCTCCCGGGGCCCTGGTATTCCCTCTCTCAAACGGGGAGCCCCCACGGGGGTCTGTCAGCATCATCCAGGTGGGTCCCCTTCGCCCCTGAGCTCTTGGGTCTGCATGCGGTCAGCTCTGCCCGGGTTCTGGGCCCTTGGTTGTCACCTCTTGTTGCCTCTGACGGAGGGTCGAAGGGCCTTTTCTGCCCCGCTGGGTGAGGGAGAGATGAGTATCTCGTCATCGTTGTTGGTCAGATCCCACAGTTGCCACCTGACACAGGGGTGGTGGGGAGTGGCTTTCCAAAATGTCCGATTGCCTGAGGACAGCTTGTCTCTCCTCACCAGGAAGGAGGCTGCAGAAGGGCAGTTCTGTTCTGATTCCTTTCTTTGTCCCTCCAGGCACGCTAGCTCATGTGGCGGTGAGGTGTCAGGGCAGTCCTTCAAACCTCTGCTAACAGTGGCTGTACTGTCACAACCCTTCAGGAGGTGCATGGGTTTGGGAGCTGGAGGTGATGTGTTCTCTAGTCCAGTTGCTGCGAGGCAGGTCCTGCTGGTGGGGTGTTGTGGTGGGGCTGCAGTGAGCTGGGCCTTCTCCTGATGAGGGACTTCAGTAAGGCATGGAGTGCTGCCAGGTTTCTCGAATTAAGCTTGGCTACAAAAAAGCCAGTGAGCTATTGTTCTCCTCTGTCCTTCCAGCAACTCTTGTCGTTTTACTTACACGTGTTATTTGCTGATCTGCTTATTTTATTTGGAGAGAAAAGCCTTCACTCTTCTCCCTAGAAAAATGCTGCTTCCTTTCTTTTTGTTGAAGCTTTGTTGTTTCAGTTAGATATACTTGCTAATATGTATGGTCTCTAGCAACCTGAAGCATAAGTTGTCAAAATAAAGCACAACTTGTGCTTTTTCTGTACCTGCTTAACTTTGTATTATTCGCAGTTTTGGAAAATTATTAATTCTTCGTGTCTCCTGGTTACCATGTGAACTTTCCAAGACTGGTTAAATTTAAAGTAAAGGAAGCACATTCAGGGCTGTCACAGACAGGCAGATACCATATCAGAAAGACAAAAGTTTTTGCCTCTGTCAGTGTTCTTTTGAATTTGAAAAGCGCCCTAGAACTCTTTAGAATGATCCTCTAGATGCTTGAAATTATCATTATCTTATTCCTGTTTGTCTTCAGATATCTGTCAGGCGTCTGTTTGGGAACTAGATTTGCTCATTTTGGTCTGCCACCTGAAACACGCTGCTGTTATTAAATAAAAGCTGGTGCTGGTTTTGAGTTTTGAAATGGAGAAATGAATGTTGCTCTTTAGTAAAACCGCCTGGTGCACCTGGAAAGTGTGTGCAGCTTCTGATACTGGCTGAAAAGTGTTAATGTAAGAGCTGAGTGTGAATGACAAAGAAATTATTCCAATGTCTTGTTAGGCCTGGCTCAGGTGCGTTAGTGACCCAGGAGAAAACGCTCGTGCTTTGGGGAGTGAGACCAGTTTACTTACTGTATTATGGCTGTTAAAGAAGCTCTGGATTTTGAAAAACAAAAGCTATAGTGTGGGTCTAGTTTTTCTAGGTGAAGTGTCTGCCACTTGCGAAAGAAGCAGGATTGTGAGGCTTAATTTCCAGCCTGCTGCCTCCCACTCCTGCCAGCAGGCTCAGCGTGTGTTCCTGCCCTCTCTCCCAAACTCTTAGCATTTAATGCATGGCATGGCTGTCATAACCAGGGATCTGTAAATTCTGCCTCAGCTTAGTGCTGGACTTCAGCCATTTTTTTTTCAGTGTTGATTTCAGTTGAGAAATGGAAAATGGGCAATGAATCCGCTGCAAAAATCTGTCTTTTAGAAAGGACTTTGTGTAAGGTGCTTGATTTCTATAGGAGCAGAAGATGCTTTTGCATTTTTTAAGCAGTGCTATGGCTTAGCTTCATCTGAAGGGTTCAGGTTGAAGTGCTTGTGTCTTTTCCTCTGTCTGTCTGAAGCTCATCTAGCCTGGAAGGATGTGTTTAAGATTTACGCTAGAGGGTGTAGTAGTTTAGCTAGCAACCAGGCAACCATCTTCTAGAAAGCAGGTTCTCGATCCAATGTAAGTTGCTCCCTGTCAGTGAAACCGCTTGCCTCGTTGTAAAGTAGCCTTATAACAGTGCACTGGGGCATATTTGACCTATTTAATCATGACACTCGATAAATAAGCTTTAAAAGTATATTTTTTTTGCCAAAGCAGGTAGGTACCTACACCAAGACCTACAGTGTAGATCTGTGTTTTCTCGGATAGTGCCTAGAAAAAAGGATAATGTCTGAAGAATCAGTCTGCTAAACATATTGATTCAAGGCTGATGTTGACTTGGTTGTTTTTGGATCACTGTAGGACTGGCAGTAACCCCAAAACGCTTAGTAGATCTTTCGTAGCCTTGAAAGTAGCTTTTGAAAACTGAGGTTTTGGAGCTGGCCTTGCCAGGTTGTGGTGGGAGGAGGCTGCGGACTCATGCCAGATGGAGCAGAGGGGAGGTGAAAAGAGGTGTTAGTGGGGCTTAGCACGGTTCCTCTTCTCTGCCCCCTCACTGTTCCAGATTTCCTGAGGAGTGTAATGTTCAGATATTTGTAAAAAATGATCCTTCTTTTTCATATAGTTCTCTCATGGTCCCAACCACTGGGAGACAGTGATGGAAAGGCCTCCTGCTGCTGCTGCTGATGCCCTAACAGGCACGGAGGACCGAGTTCTCTCCTGTCTGCTGCTGTCTGCATAGCAGGAGTTCCCTTCTCTTCCCCTCTGAAAGCAGCTAAGTAAATACAAACTTGTTGGGTGCAAAGGGAACCGGTGTGATGCAGCTGGTCCGTAGGGTGTGTTTGAACTGAGCTCTGAAATGTATGATGCTTCACGTGGGAAATCTATTCCAGTATCTTTACTGCAAGTATCTGCCTGCGTGGTAAAAGAGTGTGGCTACCTGGAGACTTGTGGAAATTCGAGGTTGGCTGAAAGCTCAGGAAGGTGCTAGGTGGTAGCATGCACCGATGTGGTATTTCCACAGCAGTGTTGGGCTGAGAAATGGGATGTAAGCCTGTACAGGACTGGGAATCTGGAGACTGCAAATTCTAATCCTGACTTGGCTGAAGTGCTTTTTCCATCTACAAAATGACTAAAACCCACCTGCTTCAGAGCAGGATGAAAAGATTATTGAATGCATGTGAAGTGCTTTGAAAGCGTGCTGTGTAAGTAGGAGGGAAGGACTGCC